ATTTAAAATTTTCTAATAATTATTATAAATTTTATTACCTATCGAAAAATCTTCACTAATAAATTTTATTATATGACGACATATAGTTTTGATTTACATAGTGCACCGCGCACCCCAACGACATATGTACTATCATGGCTTCTAATGTCCATCCTAATTTGCACTTCTGTACCGCACTACTTTACTGTATACCCTTGTCAAATGGTTGGTCATGTGTACACTTTCATACAATCCTCGTACGTACGTACATACGAATAAAACATATTAATATGTAAATAATGTCATCTATAAGGATTTTATAGTGGGTTATCGTTATACGTAATCCACAATAGCTTATCAGGGCGGTAAATTCTATAAAAAAAGGTGTCTGTACTATGTTACTGTAATACATACGTACGTATGTGCAGTACTTATATGTATGTTAATTAAAAAAAGGATAGTTTAGGAACATATTTTTTCATTTTACTAATGTACGACCATCATTCAAAAATAAATATACAGTATTTTTTATGTTGACTTTTATATTAATTAATCAATTAGCGCTCGAGGTTTAATTATGTCTGAAGAACAGATCAATGAAGCTGTAGATACTTTAAAAAATTCTAGAAACTACACACCTTTGATATCGATAGTAACCACGCATGTCACTGAAATATTGGAGATAGATAAAAATGCACAGTACAACAAAAAAATTTGTGGTGCATTAATTGAGCGTGTGAGATCTGTTGAGTTTGGGATTAGAATATTGTTGCGTAGAAAACCAGAGATTGAAGAAAATTTTAAAAAGGAAAATTATATTGATAATTTTGAAAAGTTTGCAAAAACTATGATAGAAATTAAAAAGTTCGTTGCAGATATTACACAGTTCCAAAGGTTTAGGTTTCTTAAGACAGATACAGTTAAAGAAAAATTTTTGGAATTGACAAAAAGATTTGATACCTGTATGGGCATGTTAGACTTCACTATAGTAACTGATCAAGAAAAACTAAAACAAATAGATGATGAAAGTTTAAAGGAAGACTTAAATGAAATGGCAGAGGTATTATAAAAATATAAAATCCGGGACTTACACATTTTACTAACCAAAAGAACTCTTGTTTACAGTTTCTTAAACGTATCGAAGAATATCAAGAGTATCAAGCATATAAAGAATATCAAGCAATGACAAAATCATTTGGAATACGAAATATATTATTAGATCAATTGCAAAATCCAAATAATAACCTTCAAGTGGTTAGAAATTCTGCAATTGTTAAAAGACTATTATTGCCAGACAATCGAGAAGTCGCGTGTAAATCTTACTCAAATGATTTCTCACAAGTTCAAAATACTTTAGAAATTTTGATAAAATCAAGTGTTTGTCCAAAAATCCTCAAATTCTACGGAATTTCAAAGAATGACTACCAACCGATGGGTCAAAATTATATGATTTTTGAATGGGCTGAAATGGGCAGTTTAAAAGAAGTTTATGAGCAATATTCAATACCTTGGACCACAAAAATATCCTTTGCATTGGATATTTTTCGTGCAATTTTATTTTTAGATTTTCATACAATATTTCATCACGACATACGATGTGAAAATGTTCTGGTAAATTTGAATTAAAAAAAAGTATTCAAAATTTTTTTCTTGGTGACCAATATAGTTAATACTTTTTCATGTTTTCATAGGTAACCAATGAATTGGAACCTAAACTGGCAAACTTTCATTTTTCAAGAATGAAAGATGATGTGACTACTTTTATTAACCAGGATCGGGAAAGTTTGCGTTGGATGGCTCCTGAAAAAATGTTACATTACGAGAAAGAAAATATCATTCGATATACTTACCAATGTGAATTATTCAGGTATGAACTCAAAATTTATGTTACAATATACTCATTTATCCTGATCCTATGGTTCTACTGTATAGCTTTGGAATGCTATTATGGGAATTAGCATTTGAGAAGGCTCCCTATGAGGACATGATGTTGGATGATGTAATTTCTCACGTCACCAATGGAAGAAGGGAAGGAATTCCTGCCTACTCATCAGATACATCAGAAGATTACGAAATTTATCAAGAATTTGTAAGAATTATTAAGACCGGTAGGTATTCTATTTTTCATTGTTATATGACTCATACATCTTAGATATTTAGACTAATAGATAAAACTTTCTAAAAGTATGGGCACATAGACCGGAGGATAGAATTTGTCTTAGTAAATTATTAATAGAATTGTCGAATTTGAACGAAAAATATTATATACCAGACAAGCAAATAATGCCTTTACCGTTAAAACAACAGCAATGGATCTGATTTCTAAATATATAAATTAT